CTAAACCATAATATCCACCTTCCAGAAAAGAATCTGGAAACTGGCTGCAATCATTCATTTTCAGCAGAAGACTCTTAGTGTATTTTGTGAGCTACAGCGGGGTAGTTCAGAGCACAGGCTTCTGCCACATATTTGTTTCTATTCTTTTTTGCTTCTTGTGTAAAATGGGATTCATCTGTGGTTAACTATACTGATGCAACAGGCATTGTAAACATTAAATGAGGCTGGGTGTGGTGGTGAACGCCTGTAATCCCAGCACTTGGGAGGCTGAGGCAGGAGGATCACTATGAGTTCAATACCAGTCTGGGCTACATAGTGAGCTCCAGGTTAGTCTCAACTACATAGTGAGACCCTGTCTCAAAAAACAAACAAACAAAAAACCTTAAATGAGTTCAATACATATATAAAGCATTCAACTGACATACAAGCCTCCAGAGAATGTTGGTACACATTATTAAAACCCACGGGCTTATTTAGCCCTTTCATAGTTTTTTACGTTCACAGCAAAACAGAGCAGGAAGTAGAGAATTTCCAAATATCCTATTCCTTTCCACAGTCTTCTCTACTGTCAATATATCCCACCAGGATAATACATTTGGTTCCTCCACATTCAAGATTCAATAGCTCACTTTTCTTAGTGAATGCTGAATACAATGCTATTGGATGGCCTTACCCATTTATCTACCCATTCACCTACTAAAACTCATCGTGGTTGCTTTCAATTTTTTGCAATTATTAAAAAAGCTCCTGCAAACATAGTGTACAAGTTTTTGTGTGGACTTGTTTTCAACGCACTTGGATAAATAACAACTGATTACTGTAACATTTTAAGATTAAAAAAAAAAATCTACCCATCTTCCAAAGTGGCACTACCACTCGCAGAGAATGAGTTCATTTTTCCACAGCCTTGCCGGAATGTGGAGTGTTGGTGTTTTGGCATTTAGCCATTCTAGTGTGCAGATTCTCACTATTCTACATTTTTAAAAATTTTATGAATTAATTTGTGAGAAACATTTGTGAGATAAATGGTGTGTAATGGGACTATTGATATACATTTGGCTGAATATCTGAGCAAGTATTTGCTTTCCTCATTTCAATGTGTTCTGTTTTAATTTAAGCTCATCAGTGCGGTCAGTTTTTTCCCCTCTATGTGTCTTCAGTGAATTAGTGTCGTAAGTTTTCCAACTACTCCTTATAAACAAAGGAAAACAGGATTGCATAAAACAACTGAGACTGCATAGCGAAAGAGGAAAATCAATCACTAAATCTGTTTCAATAGCTACTTAAAATTGATGCATTATGACAATGTAGAGTCTACACATGGTCCTTGGATGTAAGAATATTAAAGTCTAACTTAAAGTTTCTGCCATCCCAGTACAGAAAGGAAAGCAGAGTATAATTCCTCCAGGTTCCTAAGTCAGCAAGCTGAGGCTGGAATCATACGGGAGCTGTAACATAGATCAAATTTTCCGGGCTTTGGGATTCTTTAACAGACAAAATCCGATCTCATGAAATTCGTTAAGACTGGTTTCGGCCTGGGCTCCACATCCATCTTGGGGTTCTCTAAGCCGGAAGCCGAAGCTGTGTCTCCGGAGGACTGTGCACAGCACCCTCGCTCAGCTCTGTGCCTTCGGAGGACTAGGCACTGCGCCCTCGATCATCGCTATGTCTTCTCATGACTGTGTACAACACTCCCGTAATCCCTAGTACCGCAGTGAGCTCAACCTGAGGTGCCTCTCCAAACAACCGAACACCTTCCCGTACACCTTCCGGCTAAGACTTTTCTCGCGCTCCACTCGACCGGAAGTGACGCCATTGCGCGCGGCGCGGCACGGCTCGCTTCCGGCGCCCGT